ACTCAAATATCAAATTCTGTACCAAACGCCACCGTAGTACATTAACATACAATACAGCATCAAAAACCTCATTGCTATGGTAACCTCCTTTGTTAGTATAATTCACACCTCAAAAGCACAGACGTAAAGCATTTCTGCAAGTTCTGCTTTACAACAGAAGTAGTAAAATGTTTGGTATTTCAAGCTTAAAGATACACTATATGAATATATAACAAGTAACACAGATGCAGAGCACAGCATGCAAAATAAAGCATTAGACAGCAACATAGTTTCTGTTCAAAGCAAATTGTTTTTTAGTATTCACCATTAGTATTACAATTCAATGTGCAATACTGTACCCTGATTAAGTGTGCAGGTATAGCTGTTCTTGTCACAAAACTGCAACCATTTACCTGTATAAAGACAATTTCTAAATACATTATTATTTAAAATAAAGCTTGATTTCTGTTTTCCATTCATTTGAACGTTAATATGCTGATTTCTGCAGACCCACGGGAATTTTTATGCTACAAAAATTTATTTCATTTGAAGTACAAAATAGCTTTCTATAGAATAAATTGTATCAAAGTAAGATAAGGTAATAGGAAAAAATCTCAAATCATGAAAACACACACCACTGTCTATGTGACAAAACACACATTAGTAATTTAAACATCTGCAGAAAACAAAGGAATTCAGATTTAAAGGTTATGCAAAGCTTTATACTTTTTAGTGATTACAATGCAGTAGTCCTGCATTTAACCATTTTAATTAAATCTGTTTAATATTTCTATATATTACTAAACAAATTTATGTTTTCCAAAAAGATATTAACTCCACGATTTACTGTTTCGGAAACACATTAATCTTTCTACAGTGAATGAAAGGCACTACCACAGAATCTCACGGAAGGAAATTAAAGGAATTTCTTAACGTGAAAAACGCAAAAATTATACATTTAGAATAAGGTATGTGGAAAAAAACCCACATTTCTTCTTTCACTCACCCAACGCTGCAATCCCTTTCAGCTTCCAAGAGAATTTTGGTTCTATAGACTATATACACAGCAATAACGACAAACTTCCAAAATATAAGCACCAGCCAAAGTACCAGTTGTAGTTAGAAAGTAAAAATCTAAATGCAAAGAATATGCTGTATACTCAGGAGAAATCATAATACATACACACGGGCTTTAAAACAGCAGATCGTGTTTTAAAATGAAAAAGCAAGAACAACCCTATTTGCCCTCCAAGCTCTTTATCACATCAGAGTGATAATCAAAAATTAGGACGTTAGAGAAGGAAAGAAATCATAGCATTTCACACCTAAGTGTGGAAAAAAAACCAACCTTTTTTCCTTTACATTAAGGAAAAAAAATACTGTCCAGAAATCTTCCATAGAGTAGATTAGGGCTTATTTACAAAGGACTATCATGTCTGAGCAAATCAGTAAGTTACCCAACCTGGAGTATGCTGTTACAAACAGGATCAATACAGTCATCAAGCTCATGTTAAAGAATGAATAGACCTGCTTTAGACATGAATTTGCAGAGCTGACACAGCGCCCTTTCAATTCCAGACTTCCCCAACAAAAAGGAAGATAACACTGAGAGATTAATACTCTATTTCAGAAAGAACAAAACTTCGTTAAATTTATCAGCCCAGGCAACTCACAGAGGCCCTATACGCTGCCTGTCTATTGCCTGCTGCTTGCTCTACCTTCAGACAAAATACAACATCTACAGAGCCTGGCACCAAGGTCTTTACTCAGATTTTGGCTCATATCCCAAATTAACAACACTAGCAGTTTAATAAAAACTCTACTATGAAATGTTACTTTTCATTTTTTAACTACCATTTCATTTAGGCTTAATTGATTAACAAAGGTGTTGTGTATGATTCTTGTCACCTACCACACTGGACAAACTTCTCTTCCTATGAACAGCAAAGGAGATGAACAACCAAAGAGTCTTAGATGCTTTATAACAAAAGCTACCAGGAAGCACAAAAGCCCTATCTCACCAGATACTCCAGACTCTTTAGCACCTGAAATTTCTATGAAGACCTTCCGCTTATAAAAGGATTTTTCTATACACACTCAAAACAACTGTCTGGAAATTTGGAAATCCTACTTCCTTTGGGCAGGAACCTAACTCTTAGATATCACTGAGCTAGTAACAACATTTCAATCCATTCTGTTTCTCATCCCTTCTCTTTTCATTTCAAATTTTTTCATGCCTTTTGGTAAAGTTGGTAAAGTGCAAGTCAAAACCACATACCAGAATGCCAAACTGAGGGGAGCCACGTGAGCAGGCTAGCAACTTTAGGCATGGCCGAAATTCCACTGCATCAGAGGAGACAGATGACAGTGTCTGAACACTAGTTTTGAAATATCTCATTTAAACATTAATTGTTCACTCATCTGTAACACTGGTATCTGGTCTGTAGTCTTAAGTATTACAGATGTCTGCTTATTGGGCTTCTGCGATTTTTCTCCTGGGCCCAATGTTTTGCCTGCAGAGAACTCTCCTGCAAGCCTATAAATACTATTGATGTAGAATCTCATAATTAATTTCTTCTCTTAAAGCTTTGCAATTCCCCTTTAATGCTGAAACGTCCTTATGCCTGACAATGTGCCTAGATACTCCAGCATACAATTAAATATTTACAGAAACAATCAAACCACAAAGTATTTTAAGATAACGGAAACAAAAAGTAACAGGAGCTCAGGATAATTGCCTAAACAAATAACCACAAGGCAAGGAGAAATGCAATTTTACAACAGTTCAGTACTCAGGAGTGGCTAGCTGAACAGAAAAAAAAGAAATAATTGAAGTTTATGAAGTCCCTTAAAGGAAGTTCTAACTTTCTGATTTTTCCCCCTTCCTTGTATTTTCAGAGTAATTCATAGAAATAGTATTTATTACAGAAAATAAAATATATTTTAGTGTGTTTTCTAAAAACAAAGGTATAGTTTATATTACTTCAATAAATATATACATTAAAGACAAGTGAAAGCTTTAAGGCTCTTCCAGGAAAACACAAGGAAAACGAGCCTGTACCACTAAAATAAGGCAGTGATTCACAACAATTGCCGCCAGAGGTCAGACTTAAATTTATTAAATTATAGCACTTTGTACTACAGTCAGCTCTTATTTTTTTTCCCCGTTTAGTGTTTGAAAGACCTGAAATTGTATTTCAGAAATAGCAGTAATACTGTGTCTAACTACTTCTAATGTTAATCTCAGTACTACAGATATTTCTCTTTATAAATTCCAAATTCATGCTCAATATAAATCCATACTTACTGACCAATCACTAAAAAAATAGAAAATATTTTAATGCACCAAAATAATATAATCATTACAGACTGGCCAGCAGAATTCCAGTTAAAAACCCAGAAGTATCTGGAAAGGCTTCATATTTTTACATCAAGTTTTTAGTCTTTTTCTTTTTTTTCCCTTTCTTTCTTTTCCTTCTTCTTTTTTTTTTTTTTTTAAACTTTTTGGCCATCTGATTCATCTACAAAAATTAAAAAAAAAGTCATGCTACAATTCTAGTCACGCCAAAATTGACAGTATGAACCTCAACTAAAATTAGCAATTAGGGCAACCTGGACAAAGCAATTTCTGTTATTTTTTTAAACTTCATATATAAAAATATTTCAGTTTGCGGTGAAAATAATTGTAATCATACAGTACAACTAAGCTTAATAACTTTTGAAGGATGAGAATTGGTGGTTTTTAAAAATATTATGGCTTGATTTATTTTTCTACATATTAGTATGCATCAGAAAAATTCTTTAGGTAAAGCTAAAGGTTCACATATAGAATTTAATATTTTTAAAAAAAGAGACTTGTAGTCTTCATATTAACTACAGGATCAGGAGTATATGCTGCAAATTCTGGAAGAGATCCAATAGGAGAGAAAAATCCAGGATGAACGATCGCAGCTCATGTTGTAAAAATAAGGAATAAGAGGAATATATGGGGGCAACTTTAACCAACAAAGTTATAAAAAAAAATTCTAATTTGGGAAAAGCCTAGCTTCTCTTAGTTCTGAATTTGAATCATAGCCTCAAATAGACAGTTGCCATCATCATTTAATTTAAGACTACGCAGGAAGGTCTCATTCTTGCTTAAACTAAATAATTGCTACAAATGGCAAGCTGGTCACATAGAAGATTTATCACTCTTCAGTTTGGCTACTATCTCTGATAGAGTAGATATTCAGAGAGATGACAGAATAAAACCAATCAAAAGACTGTATTTACAATAAAATTCCTTCAGGACAAGAATTCTGACAGAAGCGTTCACTCGTTCCTTCACCTTTGCTTAGACTAGGTCATAGTATTTGCTTATGTCTGGTAAGTGTCTCAAGAAGGGAAATATTTGTTGCTGAATTTTATCCAACTCCTCAAGAAACGGGGCTGATGAATTAAAAACACACTGCTTATTTTACCAACTATAATAAATGATTTATGATCTTTTTCACTTTAAAGCATGACAGTCTCAATTTTAACATAATTTTTGACAAAAACCACTAAGAGGATACAGATGTTTTAAATGAGGGAGAGAGAGAGAGGAACAGGCCTATGTTTGTACAATGTGTGGCTCCTTAGCATTCCAAAAAGGACTTGGTATATCAGAAACAAAGGTAGGTTCAAGATTTGATTTAACTTGATAATTACGCTATTATATGCAAATTTTAACTTCTTTTCAACTTCCTCAATTAAAAAGGCTTCAGATCCCTTTAGTTATAGCATTTTTATGAATGTAAATAAAAGCTGTTATTATTAAAAGTAACATTAAAAGCTGTTATTATTAAAAGTAACATTACAGCCGACACGAAATGCATTAAAATTCTTTGCAGTTACTTTAACACAGGCATTCTTAAACGTGTTGTCGGCTCACTGCAGACACCAATCAATCGTAATACAGTGGAAACAACGCACCGTACTGGAAGACAGCAACTCTCAACACTTCAATTTGTTTTTCATCAGATCTAGTACCATTTTATTACTCAAAAGTTTCTTGTTGCCGACGTATGTTTTGGAATCGAATTCTCAAAAAGTCTTTCTGCAGGAATGAGAATAAGCAGTACCTAGAAATGTGAGAGCGCCAATCTGTCATCACATTTTTCAGAAGACCTGCAATTTTTTTTTTTTTTTTAAGGCCCATTCACAAAGCAGTCCAACTGTAATTCCATTATCTTCAGTATCTGAAAAATTGCTCCCTAACATCTATGGAAATTTCTGAAAGATGAAGCAGGATAAAAATTCCATCATATAAGATTAGATTTTAAACTGTTTAGATGAAGTCTGTGAAAATCCATTAGCAAAAAGGAGCTTTGAATTCAACCAATATTAACAAAACACTAGAAACCAGAAACACAATTCTCATGAGACATTATGTCATATCTTTCATGTGTTTTGTCTTGTGCAAAAAGACCTCTTTTTTTTGAGCTTTTGGCCTCAGTTTCCAACACTGCTTTCTACAACCGCAGAGATGATCAAAATTTCTAGCCATGTTTCATGACATACTATACTTCTCACTTGACGAGATGAACGAACATCAATATCATCGCCAACTGTTTCCAAGGGTTCACTCTTCACATACAGGATATTCCACCGCACAGTAATCATACATTGTGGGGATAACACGTTCTAAAACGTTGCAGGGAGCTCACAGTTGTTGTTGAAAAGTGTATTTGTTTCACTCTCAGTGGCAAACTGCGCATGTGCTGGTGCTGCCCTAGCACCTTACCATACCTAAGGCACATAGCGACTGATAGGAGCCATTATGGGGAGGAGAAGAAAGACCTTGCTCCCCCCCTCCCCACACCCCCACCAAAAAAAAGGGAACAGAAAACAGACACAAGAATTGGTCAAGAGAATAGAACTGGGAGTTAGGGTAAGCAAAGTCAGAGCCTTTAAGCTGAGAAAGAGAAACAGAAGTCCTCAAAGTTTTCAGGGCACTGAAACAGTGACCTGTCTACTGCAGTTACTGATTTTACTTTTTCACCCTACAAATACGCTGGCAGGTCACACCAGGGACACAGTTTCCTGGTGTGGATATTCCCTTAGAGTTCCTGTTGAGCAGCTTTAATACTAGTATGGAACAAACAGTTATGCTGAGGTGTGGCCACTTTCTCTCAGGAAAGGCAGACTCCGTAAGGGAGCAGTAAATGTCTTGCACCAAATGTACTTCAACAACAGAGATGCATTTGATTACTTGTTCCTCTCTTACTAGTTCCTCAGCTTAAGATGCTGGGGGTGTGTTTTGCAGAAGTGTTTAGCACAGACAGCTGCAAAACAAAAACATGAATGTCACTACAGAAAGCTCATGTTTGGGACACAAAAAATTGGTTTTGTAAACTACAAGCTACATTTACAGCAGATGTTCTGTGGCAACTTCCTGTAAGCATGTTTTTGCTCCCCAGTAAGTATGAGGTAGCTCACTCCTTATGAATGTAACAAACTGCTTTGCAGGTAAGAAAGAAATCAGAAATAGCCCAGTACCCTCCAAGTGACAGAGACAAGCACGGGATGCCAATGGAAGAGCAGAGTAAATGCTTTATCACAACTCCTTTCCATCAGCAATGGAAGAAGGATGAGATGCCACACGCTTAACTGAGGAGCACATGAGCAGCTATTAACTTTGCACCTTACCTTATTTTAATGTATCCATGTGTCCATGCCCTTTTCCTACAACTTTCAAGAGGATAATGAGTTTCTAACTTGGAAGCTTAAGTTTTACGCCTTAGTTTCTTTAGAAAATTAAACACGGTGATACTCCTTTACCGCAAAGATTTTTAAGTTAGCATTTGTAGAACACTCAAAAACTGTAACAATGACTGTTTTAAGAAAGCCATAGGGAAATTAAGAGTTCTAGATTCAAAGCAGAGGTTAGATACCGTACAAAAAAAAAAGAAAAAAGCTTAGCATACGTACTACATGAGATAAGGGCACTATGTGACAATGAAATTGTCACATATTATTTTAATGAGTGCATGCCAAAGGGATGAGCAAAAGCAATCTAAATTCTTGCAGTTCTTATTTCCTTAGTGTTTTGTTATACGTTCCTTTATCATTTCTTCTTCGTGGTAAAAAGGAAATGGAAAACTATATAAAAAATTTCAATTTGAAAATCATATACCTGTCCCGAAATTTTACAGTTCTTAGACTATGATAACTACAAATGAAGAAAGGACATTCTTGGGAACTAGCAGGCTCAGCATTCCGTGTTGCAAGCCTTATGTAAATATCAGAAAAGTCAACACAAAACTACAGCACAATCTGAGGAACCGAGATACATGACAGCACACACATTCAAAATTAACTTCATGTTATTTAGAAAAGCATTTACTCCCATGTCCATTTAATAGGAAAAAATATGAAGCCTTTTAAAGTCAAGCTATTGTTGAAGTTTTTAAAGTGGAGCAACTACTTTGAGCTATTTTTCCTGAATGAACAGGTTTTGCTTCATTTCCTCATTAAAAGATTACCAAACAGATAATTAATTTTCCACAGAAAATTAGCAGAAATTACACACACAACCTCAATGGCAACACAAAGCATTAATGCAACTGTAATGTTGAAACTGTTACAACAGTTCATAAAAATGCTATATCGTTGATTCTAGTAGTCATCTTATTATGCAGCTGACAATCTTTGCTTTAATGTTACCTTAATCATACCACTAATGACATACAACCCCTTCATGCTGTATATACCATGATATTTCCTTCTTTTTTTTTTTTTTTTGGAAAACAGTCCACAGTATTCCAAAAAAACTTGCAAAGGAAAAATTAAAAGAAAGTTTAAAATGGAAAAGTCTTAATTCAGTCTTACCTCAGAACTGTAATCTTCTACTGTAGTGGAAATTTCACTTTCAGGCTAAAAGAAAATATTAAAATATTTACAATGATGGCAATCTAAAAATACTTAACAAGACATTTTCCATTTATTTCTGCAAGTAGACAGTATTTGACTATATTTCAGATATACATGAGTTTGATTAGAATCTATAGAGCGAAAGCCACCTCTACTTTCTTGAAATCCTAGCTAAAATAAATTTACTTTGGTGTTCAACTTTGATTGTGAAAATAGTATAATTACATGACAAACCATTCTAATAAAAATGCAACTTACAGGTATAAAATAGTATTCTGGAAATGTAGGTTTCAATTTTTTAACAAATAAGGACTATCACAGAAAGGACTTCTCTTTGACAGGGGAATTTAACTTAACTAGGAATTTTGTTAGCTAAGAACATCAGCAATACTTTGAATGACATCTTCATACATGCAAGAGTTTTTTGATGTTGACTAGACGTCTGAACAATCTTCTGACAAATTCGTTCTCCTTCAGCTTCCACGGAAACTAAGGAAAGCTAAAAGTGATCAGGAAGAACAAGGACAAAGACTTAAATCTTGAAATCTAACATACAGGACCTTGACCAGCTGAAGGAAAGAAGCAATACCAACATTAAACATGGCATACAATATGCTTGCTATAGTATCTTGATCAACTACATACAAAGCATCAGGTTTCAGACCAAGAAGTTTGTAGGAAAACAGGCAAAATATTCAAAATATCTACATAAGGTGCACTCTTGTGGAGTTAAATTACTCTTTTAACTCAAAATTAAACTTTTAAAATTTAAAACTACTTTAGCAAAAACCTAGTGTACACAATAAGATCTATTCAACACTCACTTAAATCATGAGCTAGCCTCATATTAGATCAATCCCTCTTTGTTATTGAATTATCTCAGGCATATTTTCAAAGAAACATAATCAGTTTTCCATTATCAAATATGAGTAAAATGTGCAACTCTGAGGGGTTTTTTGTTCATTTTTAAATCAGTCACTAGTTTCTACTGGAGTTCTGCAGTTCTTGTAACTCCAACACCATTGATTCCACAGATTTTGAATCTTATACGTAGTTCCATGATGAAATTAACCTAACCGCAGTGTTACTGTATGTATGGAGTTTACAAAACTAGCTTAAAATATGAATGTAGGAGCTAAAATTCATACAACTGTTAGGAGTTGTTAGGAGAAAAAAATCAAAATGTTGCATCTTAAAGTTAAGACACAAACTAAAACAGAATACAAAATTATGTTTTAAAATTACAGGTTCATAACAGTGGTTCTACTGTGGCATATTCAGTTACTACTTAACAGTATTTTAGTTTTTATAAATTTTTATGCATACATTTATATATATATATAAATTTTGTATTTTGTTTCTTTTCTTCATCCTTTGTCTAGGACAGACAAAAGTTCTCTGGAAGAAAAATAATCAGGGAAAACCAAATTGTTATCTACCTTCCTAATACAGATTAAAAAAAAAAAAATCTCTGGCAGCATCATCCCATAATTATTACTAGTTTCTTCCAATTCAGAAGACTGTCAGAGAAAAATCACAAATGCAAGTATTTCTATAAACCTACATATAGAGCTAGATCTAACAACTGTTCTTTATATAGCACATGAAGCGTGGACATTTCTCCAACATCCAAAAACACACAGGCAACAAATCTGATTTATTACATAATTTTTCCCTGCAGTGCTTCTGAACTACAGAAACAGTCCCCCGTTTTAAGAAAATGACAATGAACGTGTAGATACTGGGATAAGCTCTGGGCTGGTAGATGATCACAGCAAGAGGCAAAAAAAAATGCAGATAAGTTTAAGCTGGAGTTAGAAAATACAAATTATCAAAGCAAGGTGGAGATTGAAAAGAATTCTTTAAAGTTTTATGGTATTTGGCCAGATACTGGATTTCTGAAAAAGAATATAATTATTGCTGGTACTTTCTAAATATCAGTTCAAAAAATGAAAATTTCACATAGTCTTCTACCTCAGCTTAGGTAAGCAGTATCTGCAAGCAGCATAAATAGTCTTTAAAAATTATCTGCTTCCATCCTACGTCTCCTACAGGTTAGTCTACCTTCACTTCAGAAACGTGAAGACAACCATGACAGTTATATACTGAGGAGTTTTCAGTTGATCATTACTACCCAGATCTTAGTGACTGCTGGAATTTGTAAAAGAGCATAAAAAGGCCTTTTTTTCCCCCCTCTCCTTCTCTACGGACTTAGGAAAGTTACTAGCTGGAATAGCTCCAGAAGCAGACGGTGATCTGTTTGTTTATCACCTAACACAGAAGAGAAGAGTTAGATTTAGTACATCTATAATGTGGAAAGAAAAATGACACAGTTTGCTCAGTTCTACTTTTCCTCATATAGAACAAGCTTTGATTTTCCCACTTTCCATATGTGTTGGATTCATGTACAAAAAAAGTCTGGATATATGACACAGCCTCAGTATTTATTTTCTAAAACTTAACACTGTAACCTCTTTATTCCATAAATCCCTAGTGTAAGTGAAGGGAGTGAGTCTGTGTGAATACCTAACTCCTGGGGCAGTAAGGATTTTAGATTAAAGTTCTAAAAGAGACAAATCTTTGCAGAGTTCTATTTTGCCTTTTATGAGATAGCATGCTTTTGAAAAATTAAATTTCTCTAAAGAGAAATAATTCTATGGCTCTAAATGAAGTGCTTATTGTGTGAACTACAGATGACTCAAGCACTAAACATTTTCTTATGAACTATAAGTTCTCATATTTCATTAGCTGCTTCTGCTCAACAGGATCTTTGCAGACTAGTTTTAATATCTTAATTTAAGGCTTATCCTATTGCATTTGCAGATTAAAACACATTAAAAACCTCAATCTTTGGTAAGCGTTAACTAAATGTTGAGTTCTTCCTACTCACAAATAGGTAAGGAGCTGGGAATGTACAGCACACTTACTTTCAGTAGTGAAAACTAAACCTTTAATTAAAAGTACTAATTGAGAAACAGCCGACACCCGTAAAACTGAAAACCTCTAAGAATCATTCACTAAAATACCTGTGCAAAAAGCAGTTATTACTCTCAAAGCTTTCCAGCCATCTTACAACCACCTTATTTGCAAGCCAGTTTTAATTATGTACCTTACATAAAGGATCTTAGAGATTTTTAAACAGAAAATGTTCTTAAGTGCAAATAACTAAGAAACCCTTCTGAATTTCACATCTTTTCTAACAACCCAATATTAGAGTTTTCTTTTCCTGTTCCGCGGTTGTTCTTTCAAAATATAAAAGTTGATGTCCTCTCTTGCATTTTCTTAGATTATTTTGGATGAATCCAAACGATATAGATGTTGCTTGCAGGGTTCACTTTGGAAGAAGAGTGGTACTTCCACAGCTTGAATAGATCATTTTTTGGCTCTTAAGACCAATAATTTTTTGCCAGGAGTTTTATCTGAAGAAAACTGCAGAATGACGGCAAAATGAACGCAAGTTAAATATCTCTGAATGTCTAAACTAAGGGGTTCATCCAAACCCTGCTAAACTCAACTAAAAAGACTTAAATTCTGTAAGCCTAACATTAGACCCCAACACTGTAAGACTTCAGGCTGTCAGAATCCATGTTACAAGCAGACAACATTTTATGGACACCCATCATGCATTCTACTCCCAAGAAATGATCAAAATTGCTTCAAAATCCAGTTTCCATTTTTAAGTCATCCATTCTGTATGCTTTCAATATTCTTTGCCCAGCAGAAGTAATTAGCTTTTATATAGCTCATCTCCCTGAACCACAAGAGTCCAGTTTAAAAGGAAATATTTCAGAAATTCATATATATACATTGTTAGCGACACAACATCTTTTGACAGAATGATGTCAATTACGCTATTCACCATTTCTCTCAATACTCTATGGAATTTGAAATTATTTGCTGTTATACTATGACTTCAGGATGATAGTTTGCACTTATACTACCTATGCTCCACAGTATTGTCTTTGTACAAAGCACTGAATCTCTTATGGTAAGGTATTTTTATTCTTTATTCAAAATTTTTCCACCAATAACATGATTCATGACTAAAACATACTGAAGAAAAGACATCTGAAAGGCTCTTTATTGCCAGACTCTCTCCAACATCTAAGGCAGACAGTACCTTTTATGATAATATACCACACTTGTGCCCTTTTCAGAAACCAAACACATTTTCGTCTCTGAGCATTCTTCAGAGAAAATACCACAAAATGGTAGAAAAAAGGAAATAATTTGCCCCTGGCACACAGGATATCCATTGCAGAGAAACTTGCTCCCCTCTGCAGCTGAGCGTTGCTCAGAAGCCGCCGCCTTTGGCGCTCAACTCCCAACGTAAGCACTAGCCTCACAAAGGAGCTCATAATAAATTGTCCAGAAGAACTGAAAAGTTATTGTTGGGTGCCTTTCAAAAACTTTTCCAGGTGACGCTAAAATGTCTGTAAGCATAGGCACCAGTATTAAACTATTCCAATTGCAACAGCTGAGAAAATTGAGACTGGAAACAGAATTCTGCCTAAACTAAATTATTGACTTTCTTAAGACCACCATCTAAACTGCTATAAAAACATCCACTACAAAATTCTGAATTCATTTTTGAACGTGAATTAGCCAGCGCATGGAAGGAAAAGCAATTTTATTTTAGCTAAGTCAGTTTGCAGGAAAACTGTAATCAACAGGAAAATACCAATGCTGAATTTCTGTATTACAGACTCCTGGCAGTCTATAGTCATGAAGTCTCAAGTCTATAGAGTAGGATAAATTTCTAGATGGATTAATGCTCGGTTATTAATGAAATATGTCTTTAATTAAATCATAAGAGAAGGAACACTTTCCATATGAAGACCAAGAATTACCAGTGGAACTATTACCAAGTCTCTCCTTTTTACCTCTCTGTAAGTTTACCATTATATGCAAAGAAAAACAGTTGAGCTAAAAGTTTCCAACTGATGTGAAAAAACTGAATCCTCATGTAATAGTTTTTCTAAACATTAGCAGCAATAACTGAG